TCCCTTCCCTTCCCTTCCCTTCCCTCCCCTTCCCTTCCCTCTTCTTGACAAGGGGAGAGCATTGAAGCCGGGAGGAGCAAAGCCAGTGCACCTCCCTCTGCTCGCGCCCACCCCAAAGAGCAAGTTGCCCCCAGGCCTGACATGCAGAGCCCCAACTTTGGGATGCCTGGATATAAAGGGGCTGCTTCTCTCTGGAAGTAGCTGCCTCTTGGCACAAGTAAGCAAATAAAGACTTCCCTCTTTCTCCTTCCCTTCCCCCTGCCTTTGCAGCTCCCTGTTCCTCCATGGGACTATCCCAGGATTATGATGACGAAAGAAAGCCTGGGGAGGAGGGAGGGGGAAAGAAGGACCAGAAGTTGTTTCCCAAACTTTCTTGGTGCTGGCATTAAGCAGTCCCGGTGGATACCGTGTGTGGTCCATCTGGCATGATGACATTATCCTGATGGAGCATCAAATTTTATCTTCTTTTATTTTTCTCTAACGAGAGCAGAGAGTGGGGAATTCAAATCCAAGATGCTCAGACTGGAAAGGGTAAACCTCAGCCTGTGACGGCCACGGGAGATAGGACTCTGGACTTTTATGATATGGCACACAGATCTCCCTCCCTCCAAGACTATTGTAATATAAGAGTTGTATTTTCTGTGTATATCTGTGCTGTGGAATCTCGTGTAAATTGAATTTCTTTTTCGACCGCCATTACAGGTTCTCTGTTAATTTAATAATGTGTCCTGCTACCCCTCTCCCCTGCACGCCAATAATTTTTATTTGATGTTTATATATTTTCACCTTTTTTTACATTTTTATTTCAGTTGTTTCTTCTGGGAAGAGTGTGTGGGTGTGAAGGGCAAAGCAAAGGGGTAGTTTTGCATGAAAAAAAAAAACATGGGGAGGGGAGGAAAAAACACAACCGTGGTGGAAGTAAAATCTGTCAGGGAGATTGTGAGGGGTAAGCAGGAAGCTGAGGTGCTGGAGGAAAGATCTCCTTCTGGTCCCCTTAGCTCCCGTTTGCTTCCAGGGAAGGGAGAGAGGGAGGGTCACAAGTGGAGTGAGCTAAGAAATGTTTTTTTTAAAAGAAAAAAGAAAAAAGTTTGAAAACGTTTTCTAGGATCTGCAGATTTTTCTTTATGACCAAAGTACAGAATTGGCAAAAGGATCTCTTTCCGTTTTCTGTGAGGCAATTCCAGACATTCTTTGCTTCTATTCTAGCCCAACGTTCTTCTGTTTTCTAAGAGCCAAGGTCGGAGGGAGACTGCAATGCTCTTTTACTCAGCCTAGCACTGCCTGTTTTCAGACCCTGCGCCCAGAGCCTCACCAAGGGCACCGCAATAAATTGCTTTCTAGAAACACAACCAGCACTTAAGAGCTAAGCTAGCAGTGGAAAACTTGTCAAGGATAAGGTTTAGATACATACGTTGCTTTTTTGCAGACACAGGAAGTCCTAATAATGAGGAGCAGCTACTACAGATCTAGCATCCAGCCTGCTGTACATAATCGCTTCAGGGTTTAAATCTTAGGTCTTTTTCTTCCACTTTTATTTGGTAACAGACTTCTTGCCCCTTGTTTCTTGGTCTCTGAAGGGAAGGGCACCTGAACCACGTCCTGTTAACACCTGAACCACACCCATCTCTGGTCTTTAGCTCTTTGTTTTTGACCTTGCCACCTTTAGCCTTTGTACCTGCCATGCCACCACTCTAATGATAACATGGTGCTTTCTCTGATGATACCTCAACATTGGTACAGAAGGACTGGGAGCACTGAGGTTCAAGATCCCACTTGGCAATGCAGCTCACTGGGTGATTTAGGGCTACTCACCATCTCAGCCCAACCAACCTTACAGGAGTATTGTAGCAATAAAAGAGTATGTTGCCCCCCCCCTTTCCTCTCAGCAGCTCCCAGCATGGCATATATCAGAGCGCCCCCCCCCATTGTCCCAAGGACTTCCATCTCTTCTCTTAGTTGCCACCACTAATGTCTCAATGCATTCTGTCTGCTCACTTGATTTTCCCAGCAACTTCCCTGCCTCAGCTGGTGCTTCAGCAAAACATATCCCATTCAGCAGGCTTTCTCCATTAAATCCAAAGTCTGTTAAACTGAAATCCATTAAATTGAGGGTTAATAACAACAACTACAGAAGCAGCCAGAATGTGGAATATGGAGTGTTTCCAGACAAAACTTTTCTTAAGCAATCACCCTGAGCTAATGAACTTCATAAGTTGTTCAGATGATTATGTCTTCCATTTCTAACCCTCCCATCGTTTTATTTTTTCTTTTTACCAGAATGCATGGTTCTACAATGCCATTGGATTGCTTGTGGTAGGAGCCACCAGTCTAGAAGCACCCCTAGTTAATAGTCTACCTCTCCAAACTAACATATTTGAAGCAATAAGGAGACTAGGTTTGCTTTTTTCTCCTGGCAGCTGGTACATCCATTGAATTCTTTGAAAACAGGATACATAAGGGTGAAAGGCCTTTTGTCCAAAAGCTTTGGGTTGTGCCCAGTCTCCCCTGATGTCCAAGAGTGAACCCATTGGTTTCATCACCTCTTCATGGACAGCTGCTTTCCTCTTATATTGGGGGGGGGGGAGGAACATGTCTGTGGAAACACAGACCTGGGCTCTATTATCAATGGACACAGATATGTAGAGTCCTTGGTGCTCTCTGAGCTTGGTTGGTTGGTTGAAGACGTTTCATTACCCAACCAGGTAACATCATCTAGTCTAGGACTGATGATGTTACCTAGTCAGGTAGTGAAACGTCTTCAAGCAAACAAACAAGCTCAAAGAACACCAAGGACTCCACAATTCAACCCTGAGCTGCAGATATTCTCTTCTATTGGGACGCAGATATACTTGAGCCTCCCCATAATCAACTCCACACTAACCCTCTTTCTATAAATACATTCTCCCTTCATAGTAAGGATGGGTATCTTCTCACTTTCCTATTATTAGTACCTCTGCACCTGCCCCAGTCAGACCAGAGCTCCCCATCAGTGTCCAGTGTGTGTGTTTTAGTGGTTTGGTAGCAGCATCTGTAGGATAATCTGGTGTCGATCTACCAGATATGGGTTGCAAAAATCTGGATGCCTATTAGATAGCAGCAAAGAGAAGAGTCTGTGGTATCTTTTTGCTGCCATCTAATGGATTTGTGCAGTCCAGATCTGGGAGTCCTAACCAAGGGTCAAGCTAGTGCACTAACTGCAGAAGCCCACATTGCTAGCAGGTTTGATTTTAGCCAACAGCAGGTTCAGTGGTCAATGGTCACTAGAAAGGTGCCACTCTTAATAGGATTTTAAAAGGTAAGGGGTGGCTTTTCCTTGATGAAATACAGGATTCAAGGAAGAGTAAATCAAGGAAGAAAAGAGCAGGAGCAAGACACTGCCCCATTCTTCATTGCATCCAAAAGGTTTCCTCCATTTCATGAGGGAAAAAAAATACGCTGCTTACTTTCCCAGTTCTGCTAAAGTGTCTTGAGCTCCTATGATAGCTAAATTCCCTACGGCAACTTCATCAAAGTGAAGGCTTTAGAGAAAACATGCAGCTTTATCAGAAGCAAGTGTCTAATGTTATTCTTCATAAACACTAGACAAAGCAAAGGCTATAAATTAAGATTTTTTAAAAAATGGAGAAGAGCATCTATCACTGGAGTGGAGAGAGAGGCTTACTTTAAGCTGAAGCAGGTGAGTCTCAAAATCTGAGGTCACGAGGAAGCTGGGATTTGAGCTTTGAGTCTATCTAGCACATTCATTTTCAGATTTTGCTCACACTGCTTACTTCTTGAAGCAGCAGGCTCTATCAACATCCCCTGGTCAAACTATTTCTTTCTTGTGCTTTGATCTTTTTCAAAAAGTTAATCCACATCTGAACAAGTGAGACAAATCATCATTTATCCTTAGCTAAATTCTATTTGCAATTTGTCCTCACTCTGAGTCCAGGGATTCCAGTCTTCAGTTGGAGTTCCCTATCTGGTTTAATGGGTAACTTCCAGTTCTGGCTTCCTGGGATTCGGTGCGATGGCGAAACATAAAAGATAAGGGTCTTTTACCTTTGAACAAAGGAAGGCACTTCATCAGATGCAGCATACGATGCAGGTAAATGAAAGGTGATAGGACACATCATTTGTACCACTCGTTAAGTGAGGGATCCTAGCTAATATATAAGCAATAATGGCTGGGAATGAAAGATAATGGGGGTTGTAAACTAACTCATTTCTCAACACCTGGTTAAAGGGGACTGCCCAAAACACTTTAAAAAAAAAGCAGTTTTTAAGTTTGTAAAACAGGGTATATAGCCTGTGGCTGTGCCTACAAAAAAAGGTTACTTCTGGATCAGCATTTTTATTGTGCATGACTTTGTCTGAAGCACAGAATGTTTATGGTGGTCAAAATAGCAACTTCTTCTTTTCCAAACTCCTGCCTTTTCTTTGTACATTTATGCAAGAAGAAATGGACCTGGTATCTTTAGATTTCTGGTAGTACTAGAAACCTAGCTCCTGAAAGTATTACAACTAGTTTAGCTGTGACGGCTTTTCAGAAAGGATTTGTGGTATTTGTGATTATGACTACCTTCTCTAGATGGTGTCATAGTCCCAGTACATTGGAAAAGTCCCAGGTCATGAAAGCTACTGTATGAGAAAATGGCTGTCTGTATCAGATTCTTCCACATTCTTCATAAAGTCTACAAATATTCAGAGTTTTTGGGGCAAAGGACAGGAATCATACTTAGTACCAATATAGTTTTATGTTTTCAGTTTTCCCTTTTGTTATTCTAGAAAGCCATGAAGACAGTATTTTTCCAAAGAACTGTTGGACCGGAGGAAGCCAGGAAAGGAGAGACTGGTAGCGTGGGGTTTTAGGTAAGTTGCTTAGAGTCATTACTAATAGGCAGAATACAAACAGTTGTAAAATAATAAATAAATAATAAATAAATAAAACATTTAAGTGGTTGTGCAGAGTAGAAAGCTGGCTTAGGTAAGCCTATAACCTTTTGATGAAGGAGGTTATTGAGTGACAGCTGCTCCTATCCCAAGAGAGTCATCACAGATCAAACATTGAGGGCCCTCTAGGCAGAATGACAGGCTAAGTATTGTAAAAATAAATGCACCTAGCTCCACATTCCAATAGATCCAACTTTCATTATAGTGTTAGACAGGCAATTTTTCACTGAACCAAGTCACATTTCAGAAACAAACATCAAATGAGGCAAACTCACAATAATATGAATCATCTCCTATTCTGGCTCCTTCGGCTAAGACTGTCTTCCTCCATCTGGTGCTTTCCAGAGATGGTGGGCTCTGATTCCTCTTGTAGCGGACATAGGAGTTGCACTCCAACAAATCTGGAGGTCATGAGTGGGGGAAAGCTGGACTAAAGCATGAGAGTAGACCTATTGCTCAGGAGTAAGCTGCAAGTGTGATCAGATCCTCAAAGATTTAATGGCTAGGAAAACACAATAGATTGACAATAGGTATTCCTTATCTCAAGGTGAAATGCCTTGGTAAAGCTGGATCTTCTCACACAGTGCACCCTAGCTTACATGGGGAGAGCCTCCCTGCTCTTTATAAAAGCCCAATTGCGCAAGACAACAGTTCTATGACTCTTCCTCCCACTGGGAGTTTTTAAAAATTATTTTAATCAAAAGCAGTTGCAAAAGGTAGATTTTAGGAGCAAACAAAGGAGGGAAGCAGATGGTTTGCAACATCTCCCCTTTTCTTCCCATTTTGTCCACTTGGTATCAACCCCAGCTTGCTCTCCTGCCTTCTGAGGAAAAATAGAAGAATCCTCCTGCTTTTTTCCCCAAAAGGAGAAAAGCAACCTTAGGAGGCTTTGCAAAAAATGAGGAAGAGGGAAAAACTGCTGAAAAGAACAACCATACATTTGCCCTTGTTTACAATTTGGCTCTAAAGGTCAAGGGTCACCATCTCTCCTAAATTTTGCTTCTCCACCAGAGGGCGCTTCAGTGTTTCTGCTGCTCAAATATGGTAGCAATTGTCCTGCAAAAGAAAAAAAAAAGATTATTTAGTGCTTGATAGTGATAATTTTCCCACTGCACTGTTATTTCGATAATTCTACATGGTTTTATTATAATCTAATAATGACTTTTTAAATTTGCATCCTGCTCTTCCTCCTAGAGATCATCAGAGCAACACTCAGCTAGAGGAACATTAGTTGTCACACTCATGATTGACCCAAGTACTAAATGGAAAGCTTGTTAAAATCAACAAAAACAGAGACAGCAAAATCAGAACTGAGGAGAGAAAAAGGATTTGTGCCATTGTGGAAGAAGGAGGCTTTCACTTACTGAAATAAGGCTCCAGACAATTCATCTACGATGCTTCCTGCATAAAATAGAACGAATAAAAGTTTCATGTTACTAGAACAAAGTTCAGGAAGATGAAGCCCTCTGTTAACTGCTAATTTGTATCATCTTGTTTCCAAGAAGCATATATAGGCTGGGTTCACACATCACACCAAACCATGATTTCCTCATCATAGTTTATTGAATAAACCGCAATTGAACAAGTTTGCATAACAGACAACTATTAACCATGATTTAGAAACGGCGGTGGCCGCATTCATGCAACGTGCTAAACCAAAATAAAATATATGGCTTAGTGTGATATGTGAATCCAGTCATGGAGACATTTGGGGTTTTTCCCCCTTCCTGTTTCTTCTCAATGACCTGAGAGATGGCAACTCAACTGAACCAGCCAGGATTTGAACTCAGGATTACCTTTCACCCTGATTGAATTTGACACCCTGTCCATTAAACAAACAAATGAAAAGTAACCTGCTTCTCACCTGGCGCACAGGCTGTCTCACACACAGGACAAATGTAGCAGAAATGACAATACTGTGTGAGGAAAAGAACAAGGGTGACATAAGTTACTGTAATAAAAGTCATGAAACCAGACTACCAAGCATTGCAGGAGAAGAAAGAGAAGAGATCTCGGAGGCAGAGAAGCTGAAATACCAACCTGGCAGCTCATACAGTAGTCACTGCTGTCCCCATCTTTACAAGGGCACTTGTCACACTCCCCACAGTGCTGAAAAAAGACAGAGAGGAGGAGGAAGGGGAAAGGGGACCACAGGATGTTTAGTTGAGCAAAGAGGAGACACTGAAATGTCTGCAAAGAAGATCATCCAAAACCCAGCAAGGATATTAGAGAATTACCTGATCCCTTGAGCTTGCCTCCTGCAACATAACTGTCCTGCATGAGAACAGGGGTTTGCAACTTCTGTCAGCTTGAGAGATGCACCAAGGTTGTATTGCAGGATGTGCTCTGGGTGCTCTTGAAGGGGAGGCCCCAAGGCCTTTGCAACAGGAGGGGAGCCCCCAAGGCAAGAATGCCCCCCCCCTTAGGGTCTTCTGGAGAACACTTAAAACTTGACTTTTCTGGAAGGCCTTTGGTGATTAAGCAGCTAGAAGATTTGTACCACTCTTGATGGTTTATGATTTTATGATATTACTATATTGTTCCTTGTATTGCATTTTGATGTAGTGTACCACCAAGAGCCTCTCAGTGGTGTTCAGCCACAGGACTTGGGTTTCTCCAAGACAGTCCCAAGAGTAGCCAATGGCATCATTAAAGCAGGACCATTGAGGGTGAATCTGGGCCTCCACAGCGTCCCCAAGTTTAGCATCCCATGCTTTTAAGATAAAGAGAGACTTGTCCTTCTTCCTTCTCTAGCGCAGAGGTGGTTGGGCAAGGTTGGTTGCATGCAGACCCCCAGCACCCTTTTGTGGCCCCCAAGAGCATCCCTATATACCCCCAAAGCAAGGGGAGCCAAAAGTTTTGACCCAATTTTTTTGTATATTGGGGGGGGGGGATGTCAAAGGCCAACACAGAGAAGAAAGGTGAATTGAGAAGAGAACTAGTGGAGCAATGCCCAAAACTACATAGCAAGGCTGCAGTATTGATGTATTAATTATTTCAGCTTATATGCTGCTCCATTTGCAAAGACTCTAAGCAGCTTGCAATTAATAATATGAAATTAAAGCATAGGAAATCAATCATGTAACCCTAACAATAGAAAAGTTTAGGTTTAGGAATAGGGGCTTACTGATGTATTATTTAAACTTCAGAAGTACAAGCCTGGATGGTTGAGTAGCAGAGCTTGGGACCAGAAGTTTACAATTATAATATTGTGTATTTGTGCATGTGTACCTACACACGTACAAATAAAAAAGATAAATTGCTAATGCATGAACATATTTGTATCTTAAAAAGAAATAGAACTATTTTTAAAAGCCATATTCAATAGTTCTATCCAAATCGCATGTATACATTAAGGGTCTGCAATGATCATGTTGCACCCGTTAGCAACACCTTAAGGAAGCTGCATTTTTTCTTGGGCTCACATCTGATTTAAGGAGGTGCTGACAGACACTGCATGCTCACCCACATGCATGCTGAATAATCTTTTCCTGATCAAATCCAGCCTGATATACAGTCCAAAGTTTGTATCTATCATCTATCATCGCGCGCTCTCTCTCTCTCTCTCTCTCTAATCAATATATATCTAACCACACATACATGCACGAACACACACACACACACAAAGGTAATCTGTCAGTAAATAATGTGCCTAATATAGATAAAAAATTAATATGTAATTTGAATAAAACAATCTTAAACTGAGGGGTTTTTCAAGATTCTTTGCTGTTATTTTCCAAGCAATGCTATTTATTATTCTTTTAAATAGCATCAATCCCAAGAAGTTATACCATAGATTTTCAGTAACTTCCTAGAATAAATTTGAAGCTAAGAGGGAAAAAAGAAACAAGTTAATTTGCTGATGTTGCAATGATTTACCAATCTTGGGAAATACGGACAATAAATCTATGGCAATATGAATTACTAGAAAATTTTAAGGGTATATATGTGGGTGTGTACACACGTACACAGACATATAACATTATTTTGTTATTTTTCAAAGAGGATTCTGAGCTCATCTATTTCATACATGCGTACTATATAAGCAGAAACACAGTACTTATAGCAAGGGAAGGCCTTAAGGCCAAACTACGTGTGCCACATTCCTCTGTGACTTGATCTCACAGATTCCCCCTCTGCCAGATTGCTGTCTCTGAACCAGAATGTTTAGATCAGGAGCAGATCAACCTTGTTGATAAGAACTAAAATGAAACAGGCTTTCAGCAAAGTCATAACCAGAAATAAGAAGAGAAAAGGGGGAGAATCCATACCATAGTAAAGCCCCAAATGCATCAGTGGAAAGAAAGAGGTGCAAAAGCAGAGTGCCTTTTTCTGCTGCAAACATCCAAATCGAAGGAAGGTTGTGGAGGATGTTTTCTATGTAACATTCCCAAATCAGTTAGCAGAATAATTGATTAAAGGGGGATGAGAAGAAAACTATATCTACTTCTAGGAGGAGTGAAAAGGCATGCCACTTTGGGATTAGAACAGGAATAAGGAACCAGCGATCTTCCAGAAATTGCTGAATGACAAATTCTACCAACCCTCACTGTTGGCCACATTAGTGCAGGCCGCTGTAGATCAGCAACCTGTAGGTAGGTTCCTAACTGGGAATAATAATCTATTAATCAAAGTCACTTGCAAAGGTTTTCCTTCATTACCTTGCAGAAGGCACAGTAGTGGCAAACAGAACCTGCTTCATACTCAGTGTCTTCACCTTCCTCATCTTCCTCTTCGTCCTCATCCTCTTCTTCAAATGAAAAGAGAGACACAGAGACAGCTCCATCATGGTTGTTCTCTGGGGTTTTGGTGGGATAGGTCTAAAGGGTAACTATAAACTAAGTGGGAAATGGGCCTATGGGATAGGGGCTGAACGGGAGATAGTTGGATTTTTAAGTTTGCCCAAGAAGGGTATAAAGTTCATTTGATTTGGAAGGAGGCTGAGAGCCAAGAGTAAAAGTATAAAGTTGTTTTCCCTCACCTCACCAGAGTAGTAGATCTAGTTCCCATTATTCACAGATAGCAGGACCTGTGAATTATGGAAACTGTAGCCCTATACACTTGGAAACTGTCAGGTGGGGGAAAGCTGGAATAGGGTCTTGGAGATTGGATTAAGTGGGAAATAGATAAGTCAGTGGGAACATAATTTTCAGGTTCTCTCAGACATTAAAGCAGGGTATGATGGAGGCTGGAAACTTGTATTGCTGGCTTTCCCTTTCACCCCTGTTGGGCTTTTCCCAACAATTTTCCTCAATCTGCTGTCCTCCAGATGTAGACCTCAAATCCCTTTGTCTATGATGGCTTAAGAGTAGGTTGGACAAGATTTCCCTAACAAAAACCACACATCCATCATATACCTCCCCACAATATTCAGCCATTTTTTTCTCACCTTCTTCCTCTCTATGGTGCTTCTTGGCTTTTTCATGGCCCTCATGCTTGTGGTGCTTTTGTCTGTGTTGTTCATGCTTATGCTCATCCTTCTCCTCAGAAGTTACTTCATCAGACTCCTCTTCTTTATCATCATGTTTCCTATGATGATGATGGTCACTGTGGTGATGATGCCTGTGAGTCTTATCTTCATCCTCATCCTCATCTTCATCACTATCATTGCTTTCTTCTTCTTCTTCTTCTTCTTCTTCTTCTTCTTCTTCTTCTTCTTCTTCATGATGGCGGTGATGGTGATGGTGATGCTCATCATCATCGTCATTGTCCTCCTCCTCCTCCTCATCATCATCATCCTTTTGGTGATGGCGATGATGATGAGCATCATCTTCTTCTTCTTCATCATCATCATCATTATCATGATCATCATGGTGGTGATCTCCATGATGTCTGTGATGGTGGTGTTGGTGTTCATCATCATTATTGTCATCATTGTCATCATCTTTTTGGTGTTGGTGGTGGCTGTGATGGTCATGATGTGGCTGATTGTCATCATCATCTTTATCATCATCATCATCATCATCATCATCATCATCATCATCATGCCTTTGATGATGGTGGTGGTGATGTTCAGCATCATCTTCATCATTGTCTTCATGATGATGATGGTCTCCATGATGGTGTTCCTCTTTGTCATAATTGTCACTGTGGTGATGATGGTTACCATGATGTCCCTGATGATAATGGTCATCATCATGGTGATGATTCCCATTATATTTATCATGATGATGCCTGCCATGGCTATCATCATCATTATCATCATTATCATCATTCATGGTGGTGGTGGTCAATATGGTGATCTGCACCATGAGGATGATGCTGTTCCTCTTCATTATCATCATCATCATCATCATCATGTTGAGAATGATGGCTTTCCTGGTAATGCCCAGCATCCTTATAGTGAGCAGCATGGTGGTGAGTATGGCCATCATCATCATCATCACCATCACCATTATCTTCAGCATGTTGATCATGGTGACCATCCTGGTAATGCTCTTTGGGATGATGTTGTTCGTTTCCATGGTATTCTACATCACTATGGTGATGTTGTTGCTGTCCCTGTATTCTAGGAAGCTGGAATGAACAGAGCAGGACCAAAAGAAGGCCAAGCATACAGCTTTTCCAGGAAGCCATGGTAATTCGGGCAGGATGAGAACCCTGCTACTTGCCCCCAGAATTCTCAGTGGAGGTCCCAGAGACAGGCAATCAGGAAAGGCAGACAGCACACAAGGAGAACTCAGGGGTAGAATACAGTTTCCAGTTAGGGCTTATGTGAGTGACGTTTGCAGCTGGCCAAGATTAGCCCTCCAGCCCCCAGCCAATGGTTGCCTGACCCAGCCTCCAGGATAGATGAGAAAATCAAGCCATGGGCTTCCTGCCATGCCCTTATATGACAGGACTGGGCTGGAATGGGTGGGGAAGCAACATTAGGGAACTAAACTCTTTGCCATACTGCCATGCTATTATTAGCTCCTCACAGCAACTGCACCTTAGTCCCTCAAAGTAGAAGCCAGCAAGTTTTAGTGCAGTGAGAAATATGAGCTACAGCTCCTAGGAGGATCTCAGACCGAGGAGTGTGTAATCTAGCAGAATCCTGGTTTCTTTGATTGTCTGGGGATTAGACCAGGGGATTTGTTCTTGAAAGGAGAGAAAGATCTTGTGGGTTTAGATCTAATAGCTGGATTTTACCAAACCAGACAGACTAGAAATTGGGCTGGAGAAGGTGAAAGAAGGATAGAAATAACAAGTTGCTTGTTGAACTGCTATTGTGTGTATGTGTATTTATTACCATTTAAATGCTGTAACATGGCCATTTTAGCTATGCCTGCACTGAAATAAAACAACATAGATATGTTATCATCTTCTTCTTTGGTTTACTGGTGCTGGATGAGGTGCAAGGCTGGGCAGATTGAAAATCACAACCTCCAAGTTTTGTGAGCAGTATCAAAACAGCAAAGTGGATGAATAAGGAAAAGACTGGGGTACGGCATAGAGAGATTTGGAGGGGGGTTGAAGGGAATTATGTGGTTAGAAACTAAAGTGATGGTCCCGAGTATTTAAAGAGAGAGAGCGATCTGGAGGGGACACACATTCCTAGCAGCCTCAGGAATGTGCTGATAGGTCCTGGGAGCTGAAACCGAATCCAAAGTGGTGGCTGAGATCTATAAATACCTGTGTAGCCCTACCACGCTCCTACTGATGCCTGGTGTTCTGTTCTTCAGATGACAGTGCAAGAAGGGCCCATGACAGGTCACAGTCTAGCCAATCAGACTCTAGGAAAAACAGAAGAGAATGTGTGTAGCTCAGGGTTGAACTGTGGAGTCCTTGCGGTTCTCTGAGCTTGGTTGTTTTCTTGCAAATGTTTCATTACCTGGTTAGGTGACATCTTCAGTGCTAGAATGGGATGGGGTTTGCTCTCTGTTTATATACTGCGGCATGCCTTGCCAGTGTTGGTGGGAGTGGGGGTTTTGTTTTATTTTTTTTTCCCTCTGATAGTTCCTTGATTAGGGTATTGTTTACTGCTCGATTGTATGTCTGGTGATAATCCTGGTGTTAATCTCTGCTTATCTGGGTGATGATTGCTGGTGAGGAGATGTTCTGGTCTTTTGTTTTCCTTTCTATTGTCTCTTTTGAATAGTGTGTAGATGTTGTTTATCTCTATTTTCCTTTTTTTTTTTTTTTTTCCCTCTGATAGTTCCTTGATTAGGGTATTGTTTACGGCTCGATTGTATGTCTGGTGATAATCCTGGTGTTAATCTCTGCTTATCTGGGTGATGATTGCTGGTGAGGAGATGTTCTGGTCTTTTGTTTTCCTTTCTATTGTCTCTTTTGAATAGTGTGTAGATGTTGTTTATCTCTATGTGCCTGTTGATGGCTGCCTTGTCTGAATACCAAGCTTCCAAGAATTCCCTCGCATTTTTGGATTTAGCTTGGTCTAAGACTCTGACTTAGATTGGTCTAAGATGCTGACTTGGTCTAAGATGCTGACTAAGACGGTCCAGGCTCAGAGAACCCCAAGGACTCCCCTAGGAAAAATTCATATCTAATCTCCCTTAGGCTTAGGCATGGGGAGAAACTACTCACATATGGATCCTATACCTAAACAACACACAAAGCACAGTTGCAAATCTCACACAACAGGCCCTGATGAACATGTTTGCTTCTTTCACAACCTGGTACCTTTCAGATGTCTTGGGTACACAACTCCCATAATACTTAGCTAACGAATCCTTACAGTTGGGATCCCAAGACATATAGAAGACACAGATTAGGGAAGGCTGTTTTGTGAAAGGTTCTGCTTCCCCTTTCCTTTTGCTCTTCAACGAGTTTCTGCTAGCCACTGAATTTGCCTTTCTATGCTTGCCTCTTCCTCAAGGAATCCTACTTCTTTGGCACCTTGTGAGACCCCCCTCCCTTAATTGCCACTCTACTAAAAATAGGAATTTCTTAGTGTCTTTGGGAACCTAGACCAGGTCCACCCAATAAGCAGTTGCTCAGGCTAGAATTGAATATCCTCTCAGGATCTGGAATTTAAGGTCTCCTTGAAGGTACAAAAGGGGAAACTCTAACTGCCAAGCAGGTCCTACTCTGCAAATAATCTAAGGATCTTTGATTCTGAACAATTCCAGCTACAAGTGGTAGATTCCATGCCAGTTATCTGAGTTCTTGGCTAGCTCTGGCAACTCTCTTATCACATACAAAGCAGGAGCTTTAGGGTTAAGGTTGTGAGAACTCCTGAACTAAGGTATGAATGAGAGACAGGAAAGGAGGGAACTTTTAGTTCATGTATATGTTCTTGATCAAAATGTAAGCATTCCTGAAGCAACGAATTCCTCCAAGTTTTTGAACATGGCCTTCCCAGAGGGTATGGAAAATGGCCAGTTATAGAGGCTGATTTTACTATTTTCACTTTAAAATGTATTATTCCTTTCCACAACAAATAATACACAGCCTTTCAAAGTGGGACTGCTGGGTGATCATTAAGTACAAGAATTAAAATAACTGAGCTGCCCCAGTGATGGTACAAAAAGAGGAAAATCCTAAGAATAGGATTTTTAGTGGTCTGGGATATGTCTGGCCTTTAGGTTGGACACTGGAAACTGTGCCAAAAACTTACAGACCTGGACAAAAACTAAATTTGATTTAGTTAATATGATCACTCCCCATGTGTTAGCCCTGCGAGTTAGTCCAGGCAGGAAGCACAACCAGGAGTTCTAGTTCTATCTTTATTGTAAGGTTAGATTAACAGAATCTTGCAAGACTAGAAGTATTTCTCCCCTCCTTTCCTTTCACTCTCTGGAAAACTAGGGAAGGTCCCTTCTAAAACGTTTCCCACCTTCTGTGGGCTGTGACATCTTTTACCCTCTGGTTGTCCAGTCTGTAACTCTACCTCGTGTCTCCCAAAGTCATTCCAACATACCATTACACTATGTATTTAATCATTTCTCCCTTTTGCCACATTAAAGGTTACAACGTGGCTGCAAATCCTACCCCAAAGGGTTTTGGGAACTGTGGTTGTGCTTTTTTTCCTTGGAAGATGCTTTTTCAAATGAGAATTTGCAACAGCAGAGAGCGGCTGCTTGAAGCAAACTGCAGCAGCAGATAACTGTGGCATACAATGGGTGTGCATTGGAAATATTGTTTTTTCTTCTATATCTTCTCAAACCATAACCATTTCCTGTAGAGTCACCAAAGCTGAAGTTGTAGAAATCAAGTGACACAAGCATAAATGAAATGTTAGTGGCTACGTGAAGGCTGTACTCCCATTCATGATTAATTTGGAGTAGGTCCCACCAAGACCAACTGGATTGTCTTCTGACTAGATATGTACAGAACTGTGCTGAAAGTCCTCTTTTAGAGAGACGGGCATTGCTTTTCTAAGATGCTCAAGGCATTCTTGGCCATGGA